GTTTTTTCATTGTAATATATCTTGAGACATTAGGGATGATTATTTTTTTTTTCCTGCAGAACTTCAGGAAAGAGGAGATTTCAGTAATTTGGATAGTCAAATAAATTTTTTTTTTAAGTTTCTAATTAAGGTAGGCAATTTGGGAAGAGCTAACTATTTCCAAAGTATGCTAAAAGCAGCTCTTTGTTTGCCACTTTATTTAAATCATGGGGAGAGGGAAGGGAGATGGGAAATGTTTTTCCTTCAGGAAGAGCAGTAGAACTTCTACCTTATTGGTTTTGTGGTGTTTTTGTTCCCGTTCCCCCCCCCCCCCCCCCACCACAACAACAAAAAAAAAAATACCCAAAAAAAAAAAAAAAAAGTTTTCTCCTCCTGTTCATCATTTGTTCTCACATCTGTAAGGAGAGTACTTATGAATGGTTTAAGAAGCTGTTTCATTATTACTTAGCTAGCATGTGTTTCTAATATAGAGAATGCTCCCTAGTTCACCGCTAACTCCTCTTCTGCTCTTTCCTGTTTATCAGTTGATCTCATGAGAAGTGGCATTGACATTTTGGTTGGGACACCTGGTCGAATCAAAGACCATCTTCAGAATGGCAAGCTGGACCTTTCCAAAGTGAAACATGTTGTACTTGATGAAGTTGACCAGATGCTGGACATGGGATTTGCTGAGCAAGTGGAAGACATTTTAAGAGTTGCATACAAGAAGGGTAATCTCAATATTTAAACAAAGAATAGGAAATATTAGTAATTTAGCCTGCTGAAATTCAGGTATATTTTTCTGAAAGATGAGCGGTGGCTTTGTTTAGAAATGACTGAATACTATATACTGTAGGAAATGTGCTGTGAACACAGTACATGAGGAAGTCTTGTGAAAGTTGTGAAAGAAGTCTTGTGAAAGAATCATTCATAGGACCTTTGCAAAGCTTAAAATCCAGTACCTAGGGGTCTGTAAATAACTTTCTTTGACATCTCTCTATAAGTTGGACTTCTTCCAGTTAAAAGGAATTAGAAGCTTTTTACCCTTTTCACCGCTTGAAAATAGACTGGGGTTTTGGTCGTAGTAGCTTTTTTCCTAATCTTGAAAATATTTAGACTTTCTGTTTTTTTCTCCAGATGTTGGTAATGCATAAATTTACAAGCAGAATTGCCTTCTTTATATACTGATATTTGACCTCATATTTTTATTAACCCATATAATCAACTTGTATACATCTGTAAGATGAAACATATGAAGTTTGTGAAACACTGTTCCCTGTTTTAAGATTCTGAAGACAATCCCCAGACGCTACTGTTTTCTGCAACTTGCCCACACTGGGTGTATGATGTGGCTAAGAAATACATGAAGTCTAGATATGAACAGATTGACCTTATTGGGAAAAGAACTCAAAAGGCTGCTACAACAGTAGAAGTGAGTAATCTATCTAATATGGAATGTTTTCAGGCCTTTTCCTTTTTCCTTTATGCTGCAAATGGACATCCCAATCCTAAGGTACATTATCAGAATGATGTTGAAAGTTGTTTTCAGAATTATTTTTTTTAAACATAAGGCAAATTATAGCTAGTCAAACTGTTTCTAGGTTTAGGATCTGTCTCTCTTATCACAGCATCTGGTAACCATATAGATATCTCAGGTAGAGTGAGGATTCAGTTATCAGTTAGTTTTGTTGGTTTTCAGAGAAAAGCAGTATCTGAATTTATCCAAGTTGGAAGCAAAAGGCACACATTAACATCAACCTGTCTCTTTTAAGTCATCATGGACATCACAGTCAAATTCTACTGTTCTGTGTACAGGAGATTTTTTCAAACTTCCTGCGGTATCTCACCTCACTAGGCCTTTGCTTGCTATGCAGTAAATACCATAGCAAGGAATATAATACATATATGCTAGAAGCCTGAATTGATTATCTTTACTTGATAAAATAAGACAACTGTTTCTGCTTAAGTACTGCTTAGCAGTTACTTTGGCAGATCAGTTGGACACTTCATAATCATATCAGCGTGATTGAAAGAATGTTAATCTTGTGCTTGAAAAAAGCTTTTAACACACTGTATTTATTTGTTTCACTTTATCTGACATAAAGCTTTAGTTGATAGAACTGTGACAAAATCTTGCACCCCTGACTATCCTCCAGAGAAATGGTGTAACGTCTCCTATTTTTTTTTCCTTGCTTTAAAAAAAGTGATTTGTAGACTGTCATCTTTTTTTCCTCTTACTGTGTAATTATTTCGCTTAATGTTAGATTAATTGTGGTGGCCATAAGAGCCTTATGGATTTTGCATGTTCCAGGAATGCGAGTTAGCATATTTTGCCCATCAGAAACTGTATAACTCTAGTATTTCTGGATTTTACAGTTTCAAATGCATCAAAAAAGAATATTGTGGTTTTTTGTAAGCTAAACACTGGAATTCTTTTCATAGCATTTGGCAATAGAGTGTCACTGGTCTCAGAGAGCTGCGGTTATTGGAGATGTCATTCAGGTCTACAGCGGCAGCCATGGGAGGACCATTGTCTTTTGTGAGACCAAAAAGGAGGCAAATGAACTGGCTCTGAATGCTTCAATCAAACAGGTATTTTATCATCTGTACTAAGTAACAAAACCTGTCAGAGATGCATCAACCCTATGTTGAGTGATTTTTAAAGAGAGACTTTCAAAGTGGATAAGGCAGGCTTTTGCAGGTGGTCAGATAATTTCAAAACTCCCCAAAAGAACCTTTAAAAAAACCTCAAACCTAAACCAGTTGAAAGTTTACAGCATTATAGTCTTCAGGACTAGGCTGCACTAACAGATACTGGGCTACAAGGGATTTTTTTCTTAAAAGAAGAGTTCTCATTGACATTAAATGAAGCAGTTATGAAATAATTTTTCTGTAGAGAGGACTGTCTTGGATTAAGAAGTGGTAGACTTAGAGAACTGCTAGGATAACAGGTCATGGTACTGGAATAGCAGCTACTGAGCTGTGGTGCTGACATCAGTTAGTGTTGTCGGAGGGGGTAATTAGGGTTTAGAGCTGTAATGTAACAGAGGCTATATTTGTATTTTCATTAAGATGTTTATTAGCTGTTATGAAGAGTTGAAAGATGTATACACAGAAGGAATTCAATCTGCCAGCTCTTGTGAATGGCCTAGTGTATTTCTGAGATTTGTGGTACAGCACACACTAGCACTGGTGGAAAATAACTCGTTGATGTAGTGGCGCAATGTTTATGATGTGTAGCGACAGTGGCACTGCATGCTCAGTTTTGGTGGTGGTATCACAGCAACTACTTTTCCTATACGTGTTTTCATTGAGGAGATGGGCTAAGTTATGTTCCTAGGGAAAGGAGAAGCTTTTCCACCTGCCACACCTGTGTTCAGGAGTGTTTCTCCCACACTCCTAGATGACCTCAGTAATAGCTAAACCTGAGCGTGGAGCCTTATCCTGTGTTACTGGTGGTGTTAGTGATGTAAAATCTTGCATAGGCAATGCAGAACTCTGATCTTGGCAGGCAAGAGAAGGAAATTACATAGATGTTTCTGTTTCAGCATATTAATACTTGCTAACAGAATATATACCTATTCCATTTACTAGCTGACATTAATCCAAAACTGTCTGAAGAAGAGTTTTTGAATTCCGTGCTGACCCTGGCATTGTGTTAGTATTTTTAAAAATAATTCTCTCTTTACATGTGGAAAACATGGTAATCATCTACACGCAAGCTGTGAAATGGAGGAAAAAACAATTTTTGTACATTTGATCTTCATACTTGTTACTGCTGTGATAACAGAAGGACTTCCAGAATGTTTGGATTAAAACAAAATTATCTTTGAAGCTGTAGTTAATTTTTTTTTAGGACCACTTATATTTTAATCCTTTAATTGGTAGTGGGGGAAATTGATATATTAAGGGGGATTAAGAAGGAACACTTTTCTGGAAAAGATGTCTAAATGAGTATGAAGAAGGCCTAAGAAAATTGTCGACTGTTTTGAAACAGATAAGCCTTGCATAATGGTGTGGATGGCAAGTTAGGGCATAGTTGTTTTCATAGGTCACAGTAATTAGAGGTGGGGATAAGACATGTTGCGATTCTGTTTTCTTTTGTTAAAGGTCTTTGAAGTATATGAATAAAAAGTACTGAGTAAATATTGTAAGACATCTAAAATATAAACTCTGGTAATTCACTTCTGTATCTTGCCATATGGTATCTATCGAATGCCAAGATATTATACCCAAAACTGACCATAAAATGGAGCACTGTCTTGGATTTTGGTACACTCCTATAATAATACTGTTTTTCAGGATTGCCAGTCGTTGCATGGTGACATTCCTCAGAAGCAAAGAGAGATCACACTGAAAGGTTTTAGAAATGGTACATTTAAAGTTCTGGTTGCAACCAACGTAGCTGCCCGTGGTTTAGATATCCCTGAAGTTGACCTGGTTGTACAAAGTTCACCACCAAAGGTAGGAGATGGTTATCTTGGGTGTCTTGTAATAATTTGTCGTCTTGTTTTCAAGTAGTATATGCTATCAGGTGATGCTATTCACCACACAGAGTTTATCAGCATGGTGTTTAAGGGTAAGAAATGTCCTGATATATAGAAGTAGTTTCTTAGAGGATTTTTTCAGAGTGTGTCAGTCCCTAGTATGTTTAAAGATGGTCTCCTTAAAATGCCTTCTTTTAAGGCTGTTCAAAGCCTCTCCCTTCAAGGCCATGTGTAGCAATTGCAAGTCTGGAAGCAGTGGGAGTGACGAAAGGCTGTCTGACTTGCAAGAATGATTCACTAAGTAGGGGCATACATGAGAAGGGGACCCCAACAATGAGAACATTGGCTGAAGTTAAGAGCATTTAAAAGAAACAAGATAATTTTTCAGTGAATTCGCTATTAATATCTCAGTAACGATGCTCAAGTTGATGTGCAGGAGGGTGAGTGGGATTGTTATAGAGGTATACACACTCAAAATGTTTTTTTATATTCTCTGTGGTGATGCCAAAACAAGAGTTAGTTGATCCATGCTTATGGTTCAGGTTTTCAAATCGTGATTTTTAGAGGGTTATGGAAAATCTTGTTTGTTTGACTTTAGTGAATCATCATTTTTTAATTTAATTCTCTGATGCAGTTATTGTGTATTGTTCAGCCATAACTGTAATAGCTTCTACTCGGTTATGTGAATGCAATGAACTGATTAAATTAGATAAGTAATAAGGCTATTTATTTTGAAGGATGTGGAGTCCTATATCCATCGTTCTGGGCGCACAGGTCGAGCTGGACGGACTGGGATCTGTATCTGTTTTTATCAGCGAAAGGAAGAACATCAGTTAAGATATGTGGAACAAAAAGCGGTAAAGTATAGTTTTTTTTCTAATCTTGGGCACTCAAATGGAATGTGTTAGGGTAGCATGTAAAATCTTAATGTTTTGTTCAATAGTTTAATTACAGAATATAGCTTAAAGCACCAGTTGAGGATCAGTTACCTTGCAGGGTTTGGGTACACTGTCAGTTGCTGTGGAGCAGGGAGCGTGCTGCAGATTCTCATGCCCACGCTTTTTCAGCAAATGCCAGTAGGATTGTACCCGTGGACATGAGAAAAAGCCAGCAGGATTTCAGTTTAGCGTTCAACCTGGTTTATCATCTGATCAGTGATTTGCTTATGTGTAGCTTTATTGAGGACTGTTATTCCATTTTTGCACTTTGTGCGTTGTTCCGTATGGTAGTTTTCTTGCCAATTAAGTATTCAGTTGGGATGAGATGGTTTAGGCTCGGCACATAAAACTCAAGACTTACATTTAGAAAGGCCATGTAGCTTGTACTTAAATCCAAGTAAATCAGACTAAAATTAACAATTTAGAATTTGTAGGACTTTTTTCCCCTGGAATCTACCAAAATGGTCTCTATTTATTTCAGCTTAAGGTCACTGAATCATTTAAACTGACCTGGTACATAAAAGGCTTTGAAGTGTTACCCATTTCCCTGTAAGCTTAACCTTGTAATTTTCACTAGCAAAAGTTGGGAGTTAAGAGGTGAAAAGAAGAAGAAAAATGATAGATTTAAATGCTTGTTTCATTGGAGTCCAATATTGTTTCTTTAGAAGTGAATTAATTATGGTCTGCAACTTTCATCTGTATTTTTAAATTTCAGGGCATTACATTTAAGCGTGTTGGTGTTCCTACTGCAACAGATATAATAAAGGCTTCCAGCAAAGATGCTATCAGGTGTGTTTGGTGACTCAAGCCCTGTTTTATCTTCCTAGTTCAGAAGGGCTGTTTGGCCTGCTGTTTGCTGTCTCTCTGAACTGATCACTATTAAAGTCTTGGACTGCTGTTTTTCTTCTATTCCAGAGCCTAGTAAAATACTAGTGTATACTTTTTTTTTTTTTTCTCTCTCTGTAATTACTTAGGTGTCTGGATTCTGTTCCTCAAACTGCTATTGAGTATTTCAAAGAATCTGCTCGGTTCCTAATACAAGAAAAGGGACCAGTAAATGCTCTGGCTGCAGCTCTAGCCCATATTTCAGGTGCTACTTCCATTGAACAGCGCTAAAAAAAAACTCTGATGCGGTAAGGGTGTATGGCTTAATGTTTGTCTTGAATCTGAAAGAAAACTAACACATCTCTGTGTTCTTTAAATAGGGAGTTATTTGTCTCCTTATGATTTTGTTTATGGGAACTGTACTTAAGCCACTAGGAACGGTAGTTTAATTAAACAGATTTAGTTAAAAGCAAGAATGTAGTGGCTATAAATGTACTTGCTCTTCCATAACAGTATCCACTTGAAAACTTAGTTTATAAATTGTAAATGAACAGGTTTCTCGTGTCTGATAGATGTGCTGAAGCTTATTCCTCCGACTGAATGGAGCATGCCCAATTTCTTACTCTTTAGGGATTTGTTACAATGATACTACGCTGCTCTGAAGAAATAAACAATATGAGCTATGCTTGGCGAAGACTGCGAGAACTCTTGGGTGATGATGTTGACAGGAAGGTGAACAGAATGTGCTTCCTCAAGGGAAAAATGGTAAGCTTTTTTTGTATCTTTGCTGCTGAGCTCTTCTGGTTGTAGCTTTTTCTCAGCAATTGTCAGGGGAGATATTTGGTCTTTTCTTCCCCGTTCCAGGCTCTGTTGGTAAGGACTTGACTCTGGTAGAAGGATGGGCTTCAATCTGTTTTATTGGGGCTTAGGCATCTCAGGGGCTTAGGGCTGCTCCACTGACATGCTAAGGAGGTAGTATAATGCAGTATGTAATATGTAGCATGGCTATAGGGATAGCAGAACAGGTAAAAGGTACAGACCGTGTTTACTGTGCCTTAATGACAAAACACAAAACAGGATTTCTTAAGATAGTCAGTTCCGATAGTGCAGGTCCATCATATTTCTGGTACCTGAAGCGGAAAGATCAGAAAGTTACTTTTTGGGTTGCGTACTTAACCGTGTTGCAACAACTATAGCAAAGCTCACCGAGAGACAGTTATTTTAAACAAAAGTGATTCCCTTCATTCTTCTTGTCTCAGAATTTGTATGCATTTTCACAAACATTTAAATGTGTGGTCAAATAGTCTGTCCAGGATTATTTGTGGTGACACAGAGGACAAGGAATGCTCATGTCCTGCTTTTGCGAGTTGTTAGTTCAAGTAGTTTGACTTCAGATTTTTAGTCTGCACCTATATTTATACTGCATGTATAACTTTCTTAGTATAGATTAAAACTTCTGATGTGAACGAATTTACAAAGTGAGTAATGCAGAAGTCAACAGACCACAGTTTAGGATGGAGAGGGTTATAAGCTTATTGTTAAAGAGCAAGAAAATGTGTATTGGAAGTACTGGCTATGCAGAGGAAAGAAAAATGTGTGTATCTGAGGAAAACATTAAGGAATTTCAAGTATTGGTGTTTTGAGAAATATTGGTGCGATTCTTCGCAATATTCAAAGATTTCAAAGTATCTTAAGTCTCTAGGAAAAAAAAAACTTCAAAATGTAAAACTGTCTAGTACATAGATTTGTAGGCTCTGTGGTTTGTGTTGTTGGTTTTTTTTTTTTTTTTAGTTGCAGTCAATTAAAAGGCTAGACTTCTAATCCATTAAAATTATTCTCTCTTTTTAGGGTGTGTGCTTTGATATTCCTGCAGCAGACCAAAAGGAAATAGAGGTACGTTCATTGAAATTTCTGGTTAGTGCAGACTGTAGATAAAACTGGCGGGACTGGGTTAGGCAGAAAAATTATGTAGCCTGTATACTGCCTTTCCTAGTGGCAAAAGGGATGCCTTTGAAGGAATTGAAGAGCAGAACAAGCATACAGTGTTCCTTTCCTAAAGTATTCCCCTGTCTCCAGAAATCTGTGCCTTGAGACTTTTGCACTGAAGAGTGGTGGTGTGAACAATCCACCCCTTGTTACTGCTGCTGGATTAATCTTTGTAGGCAACGAGTCCCGTTATGCTGTAAAATCACCCTTTTTCTATTCCCTGCCCCCCATTCTTTTCACCCAGAATTCTCTCCACAGAAAAGTGAATTCCAGGTTTTTGCTTGGCAGAAATAGTACTGCCATGCCAAAATTCCCTAGACTTCCCATCTTTCCTTCAGGTATTTCCCCCTTAGTGCACCTCCGTACCCTCATGCTCTGGCATTCATTCACTCCTGAAACAATGTTTGGTTCTGGATTAGAGGGGAACTGAGGGGAAGGGTGTGGATTTGTGATCAGTAATAATTGTAGTGGTATTCTTAATAAATAGAAGGTGAGGAAAGAGTTTACTCATGAGGCTGCTCTGTAAAGCTCTAAGGTGGGTTTTAGTTCTGTACTATAGTATCTGAGGTGTACTCAGCTGTAGCTCTTACGCTTAAAATTTTGAAACCAGTATTGACCACTTCAGTTAGAGACTTGAATCCCCTACATTAGCTCGCAATTTTACCTTTTCTATTGAGCAAATTTAAGAATGATGAAATACCCTGTAATTTGCATTCCTAGAATTCAACCTGCTATGTCTGACTTTATTTCAATAGGCAAGATGGGAAGATTCAAAACAATGGCGTTTGTGTGTGGCAACTGAATTACCTGAGTTAGTAGAATCACAGCGAGGAGGAGGAGGAGGTGGCGGAGGAAATGGCCGAAGCTTCTCAAGCTCCAGGAATGGGCGGCGTAGTAGCTCTGGCAGAAACAGATTCAGAAGCAGAGGCCAGAAACGAAGTTTTGACAGAGCATTTGATCGTTAACGATCCAGAAGTGGAAAAAATGGGACTGCAGTATTTTATATTACTTTAAAATAGGCTGTTCCTGTGTGTTCGTACCACTTAGAAAAATCCGTCATTCAGATTATTTTTTTTTTTTTCTCAGTACTACTTTGGTCATAAAGAAGATCCTGTTCACTTTAAAAAACACAAGAAAAATAAAACTTCTTCTTTCCTTTATTTCTCGTATCGCCATTTCAACTGCAAGGCCTAAATCTTTACTCCCGAATACGGCTGTCGCATTCAGAACTGTAGCCTGGCTCACTGTATAATATATAGATCTTCACTCCTGGTCAAACCTGTACATTTTCCAGAAAAAAAAAAAAAAAGAAATAAAATACTATTTTACAAGTTCATACCCTACCTTAGAAGGTTTTAAGAGCACGCGCAGTGGGGCGAAGGGGAGTAGTAGCATAGTTGGAGGAGAGACGCGGGGGGTGTTTGGTGTTCTATAGGAGGCGTTTACACGCGTTATTACACACAGGTGGAGGAGCTGTGCCGGTGGAGAGG